GAATCGCCAGGCAACTCTCACGGCGCTAACCCTAATCCTACTCGCCCTAACCCGGATCGAGCTAGAGAAGTATTAGCACTCCAGACCCCGTGTAACATTCAGCTCTAAATATAGATCGACTTGTATGTTATCTCGCAGTAAAGTTCTAAACCTTAATATCTAACGAAATACATGCTACACACTTATATATAAATTAACGCTAAGTAGGCTTCTTTTACTAGAGCATCCATACAGCCTGATGGAAGCAGAAAAGAAGGGTATCCCAACGAAAGATACAAGAAACAAAGATACAGATATTCTGCCTTCGTAACTGAGTGCTAACACAACCAGGACGGAACCACTAGAGCCACAATCGGTCCTAGGCATACCGTACGTGCCGTAGCTCGGTCTTGCTTAAGGCACATCGATAGCTAAACATGATTTCTCCGTCCCAAGTAACAAGAGTTACTACTCTTCCAGTACCGTCGTGTCTGGAGGCTAGGTGGCTGATTCAGGTGGATGCGTTCGCAAAGACAGTCTGACATCCAAATATGGCATTTTCAACGATACGGACCTTCTCATATCAGACGACGGCGAACATAATGACACTAGAGATATTCAACGCCACGAAAGGGCTACCCAAATTCGACACGCACTATTATTAGACGTGGATATTATCTTGCGGAACGATCAACACCTTCTCCTATAATATAGGCTCATAGGTTTATATGGCGAAGCGAAGGATATCAGATCTAAGCTTTTTATAAATACTAATGTTCCGTTTTCTATATTCCTTTGCGGAGTTCAAGGAAGCGGCAAGTCCCACACAACATCCTGCATCCTTAAAAATTCTCTAATACCCTCTAAACATCTCGGAAGGCTCTAAAACCCACTATCTGCGCTAGTGTTCAGCTATAGTCACTTTAGCGGTGACGGCATTAGATTCAGCATCAGCAAAGCCGCATTCTTAGGTTCTAGCGGAGCTAGAATATCTAGCACAGCTTATATCAAGAAGGTGCATATCTTAGTCTCACCATTAAACTATGTGCGAATATCGAAGCTATACCTACAGCTTCCTAACGTTTTAGTCACGCTATTTAAGATAAAACCTCAGAACCTTAACATTACTACAATCCTAACATTAATAAACGTTAATAAGTTGGAAGAAACACCACTCTACATAGCACAAGTCACGCAAATACTTTAGGAGATATTAACAATAGGAGGACCATTCGACTACAAGGCGTTTAGGCTACATCTTAAGAAGCAGAAGTTCAACCCTATATAAACTAATATGCTCTAGATGCGTCTTAGCTTACTTAAGTCATTTTTAGACATAATAGATACCTCACCTAAAATAGCGTTCCTACCTAGTAAAATAATAATTATAGATATATCTTGTCCCTTTGTTAATACTAACATAGCTTATGTTCTCTTTAAGATTAGACTTCAACAATACCTGCAGTCCAGAGGTACTAGTAAGATAATCTTCTTAGACGAAGCGCATAAGGTATGGAGCCATGAAACCTCTCAAATCCTGATTCTTTACTAACGATAACTAGTACATGCTCAATATACCTGGGTCGCAATCGCTGAACGAGGCACTCTAGACCATCCGCCTACAGCGGCACTATAGCGCTAGGGTTATCGTCTCAACACAAGAGCCTACCCTCTTAACTAACCTAATCGCTCTTTGCCCCGTTACGGTAATTCATCGCTTCTTAAGTCCAGAGTGGTTCTCAACTATTAGACGTCATATCTCTATCACGGATGTGAACCGCGATGATCTCATGCGAAAAATCAAGAATCTTAAGACGGGACAGGCAATCGTGTACTCGCCTAACGCAGTCATTAGCTTTGATGACTGTAGCAGGTTATTCATGGGAACAAGTGGAATGATTTATGTTCGGGTCAGAAGGAGACTTACAAGCGATGGAGGGCAGTCTGTATTGGCTGTCTAGGAAGGCTGCCTGCGGAACAACCTGAACACCTGCGCATTCTTTTTTCACCTAGCGCAGAGCCTATATTAATGTCTCGGCCGAGTTCTGGATCAACTGAAAGATTCCTAACCGGGGGGCGAGCACAGGCTGTGGTATATCCATTAGAAATTTTGAATGCTTTCGAACTTATCTCGTCCGTGTCTTTGGTCGATCTCAAATTTGGTTCATACTCAGTAGCGAGCCTAAGTTACACGCCTGTCTGCCGTCTTATATAGATATCAAATACGTAACGCGGTATGACGCGTTTTACCCTGCCCTCTCCAAACCCATCTATATGAACAGCACGACTTAAGTATCGCGACCTGCGGAGCTCTCCTACGGAAGCTCCGGACCCAATTCGAAACCCATCCACTGCTATGGACTAATCACGTTCAGCAGACCTCTCTGCATATCCCAACGACTCCGATTCCTTGCATCCCTCAGCTTACTCTATTCTATGCAAGATCCTCAAACTGGTCTGCCGTGTTGTTATGTTTGCCGTGCTCCCTGTATCCCGCTGAATAGCCAAAGTACAAGCTACATACACGAACAACTTCCTTTCTTGCACATCCAGAAATTACCGAGGTCAGAAATACTCTATAAACCACAGTGTCGTGCTAGAATGCCTGCTGAACTTACGCTCCTAATAGTTATATTCGTCCTACTAGGTCTTTTTGCTACACACAGGAACATCAAGAGATACAATTGCAACTCGATAGCTTCTTAAAGGAAAGTCAATTCAAGGTGATCAGTCGTGAAAGGATGATCGTCGATTACACCAGGATCCCAAAAGCCAGTTTGAACGGAATCCTGTACTTAACCACTAGTATTGACAACTATCTATATTGTGGAGCTTCCACTACCCATATACAAAGGGACAGTATCAATGAAGCTGGCCGCTTTACAGGATTGGATGATAACCCCCCTTACTAGAGATCCTCTATTGCTTTGATCATATCGTCGTTCTGATTCGCCTCCTCGGCATCGTCATCGGAGTCCGTGCAGTTGTCATCTAGATAGTGATGCTCGGAAGAGTTATCTGAATCTTCAAGATGCTCGATGCGTGTGTCAATGGATGTGCGCGCGGCTTTGATGATTAGCTGTGTGCATACCCCCAGAAGGGTGAAGACTGACCAGAAAGACTTTCCACAATCGTGGACATATCGAATGCTGATGGACGAGTAGAAATAGAGTGGGATCTCTTTTCTCTCTTAAACTTACGGAATTCTGGTGCGATGATATCGTCAAACCAGTCTTCATTGTTCGCGAGCACTTCCCACTCGTAGTGACCAACAATTTCTTCTGTGGTAACTTCCCATAAACAAACGTAATGGTCGGTGTAGTATTCCATTCCCTTATTATAAGGATCCGGGATATCATAATGCTTCATTTCAGCAGCGATGTCGAGGATTGGTAAACCGTTTTTAAGTCGAGTGGCGGGGTCAATGACAGTGAGGGTCTGATTTCCTCGTTTCATGCTTCTCAATTTTGCGAGATTCTCAATTGCGCTGGCTGATTTTGTAAAGGAGATGTATGGTGTTGGCCTCCAGATCCTGTGATTGAGATGAATGGCGAGGGATGTTTTACGAGCTTGCTCTGTGGTAAGAGGCAACCTAAGTGATCTTGATAGCATACGGCCATCCTTATTGGGATTACTCCCTGAGTAGACATCCCAAATTCGAAGAAGCGGAAAGTCAAGCTTCTGAGTTTCACTAACTTGCCATGGGTGGCATTCCTCCTCGGATCGCATGAAAGGGTTGACGATGTTGGCTCCTAGGAGCTTTAAGACTCTTTGGCGCGTGAGGGTTGCCAAATTATCATCACAAGCTTGGGAATTCATAGTGATGGGCTTGTATTAGGCTAAAGCGTAACCCTTTGGTAAAGGTATTGGCGTGTATTCGTTGAAGTGTGAGCACAAGATGACGATCAGACTGCGCGCCCCGCACTGGCCTGCTTCCAGGAAGTCTTATCAATATTGGGCTCCAATGATGATTGCATGCTGCGAGCCTTGAATTAAAAACATGCCGCTTATTTGATCGTCACTCCCTCCGAATAATCTACTGATGTTTTAAAGGGTATTTAGGAGGGGCATCAACGTTCCGATTGGAAACGTGTAGTGATGTGACTGGAGGGCTGGCGAGCCACAGTTGCACGACAGGATCTCACATGCATATGTTGATGCATAGCTTGATCATCGCTGATAATACAGCACGCGTGCTGTTTAGCTAATGTGTAAGCCCGCAAAGCATCATATAAGTTAGTTATTGCTCAGAAATGCAGTGCTTATGTTGTGGATGATGTGATTGTGTACTGCGACAGTCTAATAGTCAGCAGTAATACAACTAAGCACCGTGCTGCAGTGGCTGGTGCGGATATCCAGACTTTGCATCAAACATCACGCCTCCAAACATAAAGCTTTTGTGCATCGCTATTCAGTATGAATGTCGTCAACGTGCAGTCCTCTGTCATCTCTAAGCTAAAGTAGTCAGTGATCTTGACGGTTCATTTATAGATAGTAACGAAGTCTAGGACTTGCGAATCTTACGTTTTGCAAGTCTCCCTAAATGGAGCAGCGTGTTAGCTGTTATGACTCACCAGATTGTAGATGACAACTGCGCACGGCCGCTCAATTCACATCGCATCGGCTAGTATACTCGCCCAGCTGCGAGCTGCGATATGGGTTCATCTTCTGCTCTGCGTCGACTTTGGTTGGCAAACCTTTCGAACTAGCAAGTCTCCTTGCGCAACTTGTCTAGCATATCTCGATTACCATAATAGAAAATGGGTCTATAGGAGCAAAAGCCAATGCGTAAAGACCGTAGGATGTGGTTGCCTGGATAGTCAAAGTCTTCAAAGTTTAGCGTTGATGATCAAGTTTGATATAACCAACACCTTTAAGCACGACTTCACCTACAAAAGCATCATATAACACTCATCAATCAGTTTACTGCTACGTTGCGCTACAAGCAATATAGACTCATCTCATCTACTGTCAAATACTAAAAGACATCATTAGAGGTTTGGTATAGATCATATTACACGTGCAAGCCTATTCCGTAGGTTTTTCAGGAGCCAGAATCCTACTGCTCTTGTTCCCAATCAATTTCCACCTCAGCCTTACGATATATCTCCATAGTAGCAACAGCATCTTCTATACTTAACACAGGGCCCTGCTTAATTAAGCGGCCTAGAACCCTCAGCGCTAAATTTTTGAAATTAGGGCCCTAGTAGGCACCAGGGTTGGCGTATTTGCGGTACCCACTATACTTTTATATATCGCGGACTAACATGTCAAACTTAAGACAAGTAACTAAATGAGCAACGCCTTGAAGCTGCAAGACGCGAGCAGCCAAATCCAAAGTAATGACCCTCAAATCTTTTTCAATATCGTGGCCGATTGCAACCCTATCACGAAGAAGCTCGCCCAGTTCAGCCTGAACTTCAGAAAAAGGCCTGGCGCCATTCTGCGGATTGATATCGGCCCAGCGAATTCCAGAAAAGCTTTCATCGGTGTCTATGATGTGGACGGGCTCGGGGTAGTGTAAAAACTGTCAAGTATAGTTTTGCCGTCGTAGTTGACGACAGAAACACGGCCGAGGACCTGACCGATGTTCGACCGCATCATCTTGCAGTCGATAGCCATCTTTTTGGTGAGAAGGTTCTGGTGCGGCCCTGTTTCCTCAGTGGATTCAGACTTCAACATTGTATTTATCTTGTCCATTGATGAGTAACTGATGGAATTAGAATTAAATCGATCCTTCGATATGGACCGCAAGGCGCGATGAAAATCTACTAAAACTGTGTTGAGAAGTTCCAGTCTCTTATTTGGAGCGGCACGCAACAATGCTCAGGTTTGATCTTTGAGGGTAACGATAAGTTCGGACTGTTGATAGACCGTTGGCGCCAGCCGCACTAATTGCCAAGCTTTAGCCTTTTTGCATCTAAAAATATATGATAGTAGCCACGTGCATAAACCTCTTAGCTTAAATAGTTAAGGATCTAAGTAGTTAAGATAGCGTTAGCTTATCTTAATCCCCGCAAACTGGTGAAACGCGTTTGTCTAATCATGGTCAAGATCCCGGAATGATGACATTTCCTGCTGCAAGCCACCTACTAAGGCATAGAATAAGCAGCCGAACTGCTCCAAGAGTGCGCCAACGCACAGCCTGATCAAATGTCATACAACATATACCTACATGTCATGCCCGCTATCACATCAACTAACCACTATCATGTCATTGGTTACACATGAGGTTGATCCGTTTGCAGATACAATTATTATCCTTAAAAATCCTTGCAAAAACTTCGCCTCGTGGGACGAGACGCTCATATCCTCTCAAATTGAGTTTCCCGAGCCGGAAGAGGAACAGCCCATACATGCTCAGACGTTGGAGGACGATCGGACGGGCAAGAAGCTGTCAAAGAAGGAGAAGAAAGCCCGGATGCGCGGTAGAGCCTCCCGCAACAGCACTGTCTCGAACGTTCTAGAGGGCAATGGCGAGCACGCTGAGCTTTCCAGTGAAGCATTGTCTGAAGATCAAAGACTTGTTCACGATCGGGAATTAGCAACAAGAGTGGTTGGTGGGGTAGAGAACCCAAGCGTCGAACTAGCCGAGCTCGCCTCAGGGCCGACCCAGTCGGAAGATGATGAGATTCACTATCTCGTCTCATCCCGCCACTTGATGCTAGCTTCACCATGGTTTAGGCGCACATTAACAAGAGAAGAGTTCGTTGAATCCTTGAAAAATCCATCGGATGGACGGTACCACATCTATGCCAACGATTGGGACGAAGAAGCTCTCCTTATTCTTCTTAACATTTTCTACATCCAAACACGCCAAGTTCCGGCTACTATAAGCTTAGAGATGCTCGCAAAGATTGCAGTTCTTATCGATTACTACGAGCTCGAAAACGCAGAGGTGATCGAGCGTGATACCAAGGACTGGATTACTAATGTGAGGCGTAATGCCGCGATTCTATCTTCTTATTGCCGTGACCTTATGTTATGGATCTGCATCTCTCGAGTTTTCTGCATGTGCGAAGAATTTAAGAAAGCGACGGCTGTGGCGATTAAAGAGAGTAAGGGCTGGATTCAAACCCTAGATTTGCCGATCCACTAGGGGATTACATGTATAGTCTTGACCTGCCTCAATCTAGGTTCTAATTGTTAACTCTAATCAGCTAGTATCGACCGCATTCGATGCAATGCCATTAAGCACGTTATCTCTAAACTGCACCGCTTACTTAGGGTCTATCGAGACTTTAACTATTCCTGCCCCTATAATCTATCTTACTCTTTTTAATGTGGAGCTTTTCTCTTTGGCGCGTTGATGAAATATATAGAGAGATAGGGTTGTCTCTTGCCCCGGCTAGAGAATCCTTTTATGGGGATCAGCCTCAATGAAATATGCGATAGGAGTGGAATAGCGAAGAATACGAAATGGTGGGTCAAAAGCGACTGTTACGACTACTACAAACGATACGACCACGAAAAGTGTGAGGTTCACTCGTGCAATCTGAATGCTAAGATTAATGAAGTCGTCCAGGATGCGATGGCTAAAGTGAGAGGATTGAAATTGCAGGACTTCAGGGATAACAGCCAAGTTTCGTTTAAAAACTGATCCAAATGTTCAGCTTTAACGTGCATCCCTTCGTACCGGAACAACCGGTGTGGCGGAACACTATCTCTTAAGTAAGCAGATAAGACACAGAAAAACTTATTAAAATATTTTTATAATGCCTTATTATTTCTAAGTATATATATTCTGTATATAACTAGTTCTTAGATAGAAAAATATATATTATTATTATTATTCCATTATAGTCCTGTATCAGCCGTTGGCTATGTAGGACTTTGGCCAAAGGCCGTTCTATCTAACTAGTTACAATTTGGTACGTTGTGCTGTATTGCGTGACTATGGTGCTTCGGCCTGTATCTAGCTAAGCTATTACTAGCTTTC